GTCGAAAGGATCAAATGAATATTTTGTGTTTAAAGGTTTACAGTGAAGATCACTGGATAATGACTGTCAATAGTGATTTTGTATTTTTTAGTGACAGGAAGGAAAACAAGGGGCAAGTTCATTTAAAACTTTCTTGAAAAACCGTGGCAGGAAGAATGTATGTTCACGTGTTGCGATCTGTTTCTACATTCTGCGTACCTACGGTCATATATCAGCTTCATGATTTATTTTACTCTTATAGTGTACTGCTCGAGCATGTGTTGTGTGTAATCTACAGTATATATATAATTGATATTATATATACTGTTATAAGATAAGTATATAATAGTATTATAATATAGACATATAATAATATATATAATTTATACTATACATATGTGTAATGAAAACTATGTATATTATATATATTACTAAATAAATGTAAGTAATATAACATATATTATTACATATATATACTATATATAGTGCATAGGTATATATACTCACATATGCATATATATACAATTATAATAAATATATACTATAATAACGTAAATGATATAGTATACAAGCAACACACTACATAGGTATTCATAACCAACACACACATCGCTCATCACAACACACACAGGGGGTTAAGCGACGTATCCCACGCACACAAACACACCAACACACACACACCACACACCAGCAGACACACCACACACACTCACAACATACTGTGTTGAATCCTGCACAAGCTCACAGTCCGCTCACACACTACACAACATCACACACACGCACACACACACACATCAACACGAACGCACACACAAGCAGGACAGTGCAGATGCGTATATTTATGGCGGTGGCTCCCACACACATCACAACACAACACAACACACAACACAACACACACATGACATTACATACACTATTATAAATATATATTGTGTAACGTATAATTATAATATAATATATCATATATATATATAATATACATATATACATGTATAACAAAGATGTTCAATATATATATATATACGCTCACATGATACCTATATATAAATATATATTTTTATATATATAATGCTATGTGTAATTTACATATATATAATAACACATAAATGAATTAGATATATCAATGATGAATAGTCTTTTTTATAATATATATTATACTATTATATTACCATATTATACATATAATACATATACAGCACACACAACAGCACACACACAGAATAGAATACTCTACTCGATCTGATGTGTATGTTGCTCGTTATTTAATTGTTAATCTCGATAATACCACACACCATATCACACTACACCCACACACACACACACACACACACATACACGACACACACACAACACACACACTACACACAACACACGACATTTTGAGATTGATCAGAACCAACATTGGACCCTCGAGCGGAGTCTGATATACATTCGCAAGACACTTTGGCAAGGTGCAAGTAAGTGAGGGTCACGCGAAGGTACCGGGCTACAAGTGAAAAGTAATATAAGTGTGTAGTAATAGTATAATACTATAGCTAGTATATATGGAATATATATATATTATTATATTTGCATGCGCATGTATGTTATCGACAGTTTTGAAACATTATTAGGTGTGCATGTTTCCTCTCTCTCTTCCTCAGTAATGAGTAGCTCTCTCTCTCTCTCTCAATCACGATTCTCTGTCTCTGCTCGTCTCAAATCTCTCTCTCGTACCCTCATCATGCGATCTCGTCAATCTCTCTCTCTCATCTCTCTTCTCTCTATATATATATAATACTATAATTCAGTATAGTATTATATATAATATATATATAGTACATTATACGAAGTATACTATACACCATAGCCATCCTATAACTATGAACATGCATGTATAGCGCTACATAGTATACCATATATTATTATACTGACTCATCGATTATGGTATTTATATTATACTAAGTTAGTATGTTCTGTATGCTATGTACTGTATGTAATGTTTAAATATAACTAATGTATATATCTCATGGGTGTAATCGGATAAAGTGTATGTATGTATGTATGTGATACACTAACTGCATATTACATATAGTGATATAGAACGTTATGTATGTACATAGCATTAAGTACATACGAGTATACATACATCATACATTAACTCACATACAGTATATACGAAGTAATAGTTATTTACTCACTTACACATGTTATAAGGCGTGCGGAGTATAAAGTATGTAGATATTACATATACATATAACTATAATAAACATGTACTAATATCTATATATGTAGATTATAACATATAATCATATAACTATATATACATGCATATATGGCATTATATCATTAATCCATATATATATTATAGTATATATAATACATATACCCGTACGATACATTATACTATATTGTGATCACATACCTGTATACCGATAGATGTAGAAGCGATGTGATCACATGTATATCGCGATAAGATATGCATATACCATATAGCTTTGCTATACATATAATAATAACTAGTCTATATATGTATATATAC